TATGATTGTAGGCAAGTGTCACCACAGCCAGCTCACTTTATACTTTGGTTGATTTAATTTGCAGTTGTGGAATCTATCAGTGTTTAATTCCATAAAATAGAATACGTGTGCCCATAAAGTGATCAGAGATGTTTGGTTTTACAAATGGAAAAAAGCCCAAACAAGTAGAAACAAGGAAACGAAAGCAGACTGGTACTGGCCAGCTTCTCCTGTGCTGTGACAGGTACCCAGCACCCCCAATTTACAGGACGAGAGGTTTAAACTAGGCTTATGGCTTCAGGGGATTCAGTCCAGGGTCTGCTACTGAAAGGCAGAAGCATCCCGGAAGGGTGTGTTGGAGAGGGGCAGCTTAGTTCACGGCATACTGGAAGCAGAGCAGGTGCAGTGCCAGAGAGGTATAGACACACCTACCAGGTATAGACGCTCAGTACAGGCTTTATTACTCTCCTGGGTAGCTCCCCAGCCCATCATGTTGACACATGGAACTTAACTTCTAGAGGGCTCAAAGTTCATAAGACAGGGCAGGGCCAATAGAAAATTGACTGGAAAATATCAGATTATTTCCAGTTACCTTTTATTGTGTAAACCTTAAAGCAGAAGGAAATTTAGGTTTCTCGGATGGTCAGATAACTTGGTGTCACTTCAGGGACGTGAAACTTCAGCACGAGCGAGTCCATCTTAATGCATAGGCTGCTCTGCTGCATTTCGAAGCAGGGCTTTGGTTACGAAAGAGCTTCTTACCGTTTTCATTTTGCAACACAATTTAAAATATTATGGAGAAAATAGAAAGCGTGAAATCTGGTCATGATAGAAGAAAATGTCTTTGCTTCATGAAAAACAGATCAGTGGGGATGTGGCTCAGTGACAGTGCCTTCCTAGCGGGCAAGTCTCTGCAGTGTTTACGTGACACAAAGAGAAAAAGTTGGGGAGGGGGAGGGGAGGCAGGCGGGCGGGCCTGCTTTTGTGCATCCATCAGGGTTACCTCGCCGGCAGCTGCTAGCTGGGCCCTGGCCTCCCTTTCTCTTCGATCCAGATCGTGTCCAGGCAGCCACCCGGTGGCGCTGTGATTCTTCTCCATTGGTGAGCTGTGCCGTTCCAGGTCGGCACTACCTGCGGGTCTGCGGTTTATCTGGAAGCCCGCAGAATAGGAAACCACGGAAGCGACCAGGAAGGCGAGGGAGGAAAGGCGCGGCAGGTGGGGGAAATCGGCCCTTCCCAATAGCTCCGCTCTTCTCAGACATTTCCCCACTTGCGCGGAATCCGCCCATTCCCTGGGCACTCTATACCAGCACCTGTGGGGCTCTGGTTTTCTTTTTGGCTTTGACACTTGCTCAGCTCCCATAGTGCAGCCGGTTAGCAAGCACTCTTAGCACTCCCACCACGCAGCCAGTCCTTGCTCTTGACTGCAGGACGCGGGCCTCTGCCCAGGCTGCCGCCCTCAGGCAGAGAAGGGCTAAGGCAACCCCAACCAACCCTAATCTGAACCTTAACCCTAACCCTAACCCCAACCCCAACCCTAACCCTAACCCTAGCCCTAGGCCAAGCAGCAGAGAGACCTCGATCCTCAGGAGAAGCTGGGATGTGGGTGGAGTTTGGAGAGAAGCTGGACTGGGGCCCAGGTCAGCACAGGGTGAGGCGGCAGCTGTCGTCCCTGGAATCGGTTCAGGTGCATTTGAGAGCCGAGTTTCAGGGGTGAGGGTGCCAGTAAATAAAGGACAGCAGTGTGCGAGGCTGGGATTACAGGCAGCCGCTGGGGCGTCCATCCCTCTCTCCGTCGGGTCCCCTCCTGGGCACGGTGGCAAGTCCCTGTCCTGAGTGGGTCGGCTGCGGTAGGCAGAGTCAGCACCCACCGCAGCAGAGGAAGGCTGAAGGCAGCAGTGTGGGTTGAGGCGACTCAGAGCTACACTGGGGCTCCAGGGTGTGGCCGGAGCAGGCCAGTGAGGGCCATGAGGAGGGGCTGGCACATCTGGGTTGGCAGGGGCCCCCGCGCCCTGGGGAGCCCTTGCTCTGGTGAGGATGGGGGACCTGGCCACCTCCTGGCATGCGTCATTTCTTTGCCACACTGTGTATGAGTGCCAGGACTAGGACTCTAGGAATAACTGTGCCATGGTGCTTTTGAAATAATGGCATGATGTGGCTGCATCTATCTGCCTTTTCATGGGTGCAAATAAATTGTATTTTACTCACAGCCTTAGCACTCATGACAAGACCAGGTGTGGTGATGCAGGCCTGTAATCCCAGCACCTTGGAGGCTGAGGCAGGAGGATCGCTGTGAGCTGTAGGCCAGCCTGGGCTACATGACTGGGTTCAACCAGAACTACATAGTAAGACCTTGCCTCATAAAAAGAAAATCATGACAAAGCTGGGCGAGAAGGTGTGCAACTATAGTCCAGCTAGTGAGGCCTTATTGCAAAAACAAAACAAAACTGAAACAAAAAAGGGACAAAAGACCCAGCTCCTTCTTTTTCTTTCTACTGGAAATTGATCAGCAGATTCACTGTAGCTTCTTCTATTCTGTTAGGAAATCTAATAATGTTTATTTGTAACATTCTATGAAATGACTATATGTAAATACTATAATTTTACTGAAACCATAGCCAGAAGGAAACAGTCTTTGGTGAAAGGGACACACCGAGCTTTGAAAGCAGATTCTCCACTCCACATGCATGAGTTATATAGTATACACTATAACTTCATTGCAATCAAATTTTTCATGATTGAAATGATAGCAATCAAATAAGCATCAATAAATTGCTTTTTTTTCCATGTGGTGTCTTTTAAGTAAATTGTAAGTCAAAGATATAGTTTAAATCTTAGAACAAAAATTAAGATTAAGCAATATTCAGAAAATTAAATACTAATTAATTAAAAATTAAATGTTTCAAAACAATTGAACTAAGAAAAAGTTTTCATGATAGCAAAGAAGTACTAGAGTAAAACATAAGATAAATACTGGAATGGCAAGTAAATGACCAGCACTTCTAACAGTTTGAGGATAGGATATCGCACAAAGTTCTAGTGTGTTGTGGACATGCATAATGACCGTGACAGTTACTGGTGGCCAGGTGTCACTTGTGGGACTGAGCTACAGCTATTTCTTTTAAATCCACCCTGTAGACTCAGGTGGAATCATGACTCATAGGGTGGAAGAGAAGTCCATTTGTAGAGTGTGCTGATGGAAATATTCTGCTGCTGAACACAAAAGAATAACTGAAAGACTACTATTGTATACCTCTTATTCTCCTGTGTTTAATTATTTGCCCTATTTGGTGGGTTCTTTCCATTCTCATTCATGGGGCTGTGATCCATTTGCTCCCTCTCTAGAACATCATTTAGTAGTCTGTGTAGGCTTGGCTTTGTCATCATGAAATTCTTTAGCCATTCTTTGTCATGGAAGTATTTAACTTCTCCATTATACTTGAAAGAGAGTTTTGCAGGGTATATCAGTCTGGGTTGGAATTTGTTTTCTTGAAAGACTTGAAGTACTTTGCTCCATGCTCTTCTTGACTTGATGGTTTGTAAAGAGAAATCTGCTGTTATTCTGATGGGTTTTCCTTTAAATGTGATCTGTTTCTTTTCTTTAGCGACTTTTAGTATACTGTTCCTATGCTGAATTTCTGGGATCTTGATTATTATATGTCTGACTGTGGTTTTAATTGGGTTGATATTATTTGGAGTTCTATATGCTTCGGTTACTGAATGTCAGATTGTTGTCCCATATTTGGGAAGTTTTCTGCTATTACTTCTGCCCATATTCTTTTTACATCATTTGTATTGAATCCTTCCTTCTCATTGATGCCTATTTGTCTCACATTGTTCATCTTTGCATCATCTTGCAGGTATTGAATTATTTTTCCTGCATCCTAGTTGTTTTTAAGAGATCTTTTCTTTTTCACTAGCTGCAATGGTGTCTTTAAGGTCAGAAAGTCTATTTTCACTTTCCCTCAAACGGTTTTGCCAGCTTGTGATTGAGGTTTTAATTTCCTGTATATCACTTTGAACCTGTTTCATACATTCTATTTCTTTCCTAAATTGCTTATTCAGGAGTTTTATCATTTTTATATTCTGCTCTATTTTTTAATCAGTGTATTCTTTAGAAGCACTTAGTACTTCTTTGATTATAGTTATCACTACATTTTTTAGTTTAGAAATTATTCCTGATCTGATTTCTTCTATACCTTTCTGCAGTTGTTTCTTTACTGCCAACATTATTATTTCAGAGATATCAGGTGTGTGATTTCCAGTTTCCTCTATGCTAGTTTCTTTTGCAATTGTACTGGGTGGACTCGGGGCCTGAGACTGCATTTTGTTCCTTCTCTTTGTCATTTTGTTTCCCACTCTCTTCTGACCGTTGGTGTAGAACTTAGATAGAGTTATTACCTTAGCACCAGGTCTGGATCTACGAAGTTCAGATTCCTCCAAGTGGGTGTTGCTTGGATCTGGCTGCTGTGCTCCACTTCTTTCTACTCCAGCCATTAGATTTGAGCTCTTTGTGTCACTCTGGCAAGATGTTCTGTTCCATCAGCTGGGTGGGTCTTGTCTCTAGCCTCTTTGCAGGGAGATCTGCTGAAGGGTTCCACACTGGGCCTGCACTCTGAGTCAAATGAGGATCCAGTGGGCCCCAGGCAGACTCATTCACACACCAGGCCTGTGCTCTGGGTCTATTCAGGATCTGTGGGCATGGGTCGTCTCACTTACTCGCCGGGCCTGCGCTCTGGGTCTAATAAATTGCTTAAAATAGTGTTTGGTAGTTATGAAGAATGAAATACAGGTGTTTTGGCAAAGCTAGAGATACCTTCCGGACCCCAAGCAACTCTCTTACAAGGAATCAGTGTCTAACAAAAGCTACTGAGAGCACAGCAGAGCTGTGTCACAGGCCGGCCCACGAACACTTCATCCTCTGTAAATAAAAATACAGGGGCCTGGATACGCTATAATCTGTTTATTCACAGAAACCAAAGAACAATTTCCCAGAATACTCAGAGCAAGAGTCTTGGAAATACAGTTCTGTGGATAAGCGTCAGTGAAGGATTGCGAAGACGTGGCCACTCACACATAACTAGAGTTCTCTCAGCATATCTAGGTTAGGTAAGATGCCTTCCTGTCCTCAGTGTCCTGTGTAAAACCTGAGCAGCAGATGTGTACAGTTCTGTTATGTGGTGCTAGGGATAGGGTCCAGGCCTTGCATGTTCAAGACAAACACATGACTGAGGAACTCTCCCCTGCACCCTGTTGAGTTCTGATTACCTGGTACTTAGCACTAAACCAAATACCTTTAGAAAACTTTTACAGAAGTCTTAGATCTGTTCCACAAATATGCATACATGTGGTTAACAAAAGCGATGTCTATTTTCTGGTAGGTTTTGGCCCATTAACTGAGTTCCTCATACTCTGGCCACTAGTCTGTCAGGTGTGTGGCTCACAGATATTTTCTCTCAGTCAGAAGCCTGGTTGTGGATCTTCTAAACATAATCTTTTGCAAAACGAAAGTGTTAAATTTCGATAGTGTTTAATTTATCAAGTCTTCAATGGCTTATTGAGAGTCTCAAGTTTACAGACTCTTTGCTTAGCTTTTAGTCTCAAAGATTTTCTGTTTCTTTCTATAGTTATAGGTTTACATTTTACATCTATAGATATGATCTTTTTTGAATGAATGTTCATATCAGGTAGGAAGATCAGTCTACCTTTTGTAGTATGTTTATTGGAAAGACTGTCCTCCTCGTGTTCAATTATTTTTGTGCCTTTGTGAAAAACAAGGGTGAAGCATTTTTGTGAACCGATTTTAGAGTCTCCACTCTGTTATTAAAGCATGTTTCTGTGCACACAATACAGTAACACTGGATTGAATACTGCTGCACTTTAATAAACCTTTCCACTGGAATGGGTATTTCCTATGTTAATGAAGTGTTCTTACATTATTTAACATGCCTGACCCACCACAGAGAGTTTAGTGCTGTGAAGACAGAAAAGTTGGGTACCACCAAATCCTTTGTGGACTTATAGGAAGTCCCTGATATGCACAGGCAGGCTCACATAGGCATACGCAGGCCTTGGGTGTGTATAGCACACGCAGGCACACGCAGGCCTTGTGTGTGTGCACCAGGGCAGTCCAGCTTATTGCAAACACCAGGAACTCCAGAATATCATTTGCTGAAAATTTAAATTCTGTAGTAAGAATCACACTTTGGAGACCCACTCACGCTGCAAAACAGTGATGAATCTTTGAGTTAGTCCTTCTCTCCTAAGTTCACTCTTCGGGCTCAGGGACTCTGTATTTTAGCTACTTTCATCCTTAAACACGGAAGGTGCCACCCCGCCCACCAGTGCAGTGAGCTGCAGCGTTACCAACGCCGAGGGACGCTGATTCGCCTTCTCCAAGCCTTGGTCTCCCTGTCCGGAGGGGTGAGGTCGACAAGCACAGGCTGGCTGGCGGCTGGATGAGGCGGTGTCCACGAGGGTGTGGCCCAGGGCTGGGCAGGGACCAGAGTCTTGGTGCTGACCGCTTTCCCCACCGCTTCCACACTGCCTTTGCCTCCCGCTTTCACCGTCTGGCATCTCTGTGTACCACCCGGAGGGGCTCTCATTTTGGACCCCGCTGCCCCGGGACGCAAAAGAGGAGCTCTCTGACGTGTGAGCCGCGGGGATCGCGAAGCCTGACGCAGAGCGAGCTTTTAGTGTTCCTCCGCGGTCCGTAAGCAGAACAGGACTATGCACGTAACTCTGCAGGATCTTACGCTGCTTGTTATGTTGCAGCGGGGAAAAAACACGGTAAGTGATTGATGCAGTCTAGCAAACAAGATTCAGTAAAGCATTTGCCATGCAGAAGCATGGCGAGTCACCCACGACAGCCCTCCATCCTGGCCCCACACACTGTCCTGCGGCTGTGAGACACGCATTCAGCTCCTCTGTGGTCAGTGAACTTAGATCCAAGCTTCTGCTTTCGGCAAGGCAAGCAACGAAAATGCTCTCACAACACAAAGCAATCACATTTACGACAGGCATAATTTTTTTTTTTTTCCCGAAACGGGGGATTGGACTCAGGCCCTTGCGCTTGCCAGGCAAGTGCTTATTCTACTGAGCCATCCCCCCCCCCCCCTCCCTTTTTTTTTTTTTAAAGAAACGAACAATGATTGTCTAGACCTGCCACTTGGACAGCCTGCCATGACTTCGGACCAGAAGGCTACCTAAGCCGACTGGCCGTGTGGAGTCTCTGTGGGGCGGGGTCTGCAGATGACCCCAGGGATCTGGGTCGAGCACGAGGTTCCTGTTCACCCTCGCTGGCTCTTTTTGCTGCAGGGACGACGGGTGGCATGGATCCCTGCAACCAAGAGACCACAGCCAGGAGCCACCCCAGCATCATTAAAAGATTTTCATTTTTCTGCAAGCACTGAGGACTTCTTGCTTGCTCAGACCTTCCTGGGAACCGCTTTGAAATACTCTTCCGTTGAAATCTCCGACACTGCTCCGTACCATTTCTGAAGCCAGACACCTTCTACCCTCATCTTCATAAAGAACCACTCATACTGCCGCGGCCACTTCCTCATCCCGGGGTGCCTGTGGGAGCAACGAGAGAACACAGTAGGCGTTCTTGTTCTGGCCCTCCCCTGGGCCAGCTCCTGAGCCTTACTGGAGTGCAGATCAGTCAGAGGCTGACCCCCAGGGCTGGGTCTCAGGGCCCAGGGCAGCCAGAGAGCTACAGTGGCTCCACTCGGTGGCCCAAGCTCAAGGCTTGAGCCAAGTTCCTGGGTTTGACCCCAGCTCATGCTGCAAGCCCTCAGCACCTCACCTGTCTCATGGTGATGCTGCTGGCTGTGGGCTGTGAGACTGTGTGGGCAAATGAGGACGCTCATCTAACGCACCTGGCTCAGGCAAGTGCCCGGTGGGCACCTGTGACTGTGAGTAGCAGATGTGAGTAAGGCTCCATGCAGCCCTGTGGGAAAGGCTCAAACAGCGAGCCGCAAGGCTTGCCTGCCATGTCTGTTCACCGCAGGAACTGTTTCCTACAGCAAGCTGAGGGCTGTGCATTAGGCCGAGAGCTGCCCTGCCTTCCAGGTCCCCCCCACACACTGTAACTCCTTGAGGGCAAGGGCAGGGCTCCCTGACTTTTTGAACTTCATAAAAATAAAGTTCCTAAAAAAAATAAATAAAAATTAAAATTAAAAATTTTTTTAAAAGTTCCTTTTGATCTAAAAATTTAGAATTCAAAGACCAAGTCCAAACTGGAAAACATATTTGTAACAAAGCAAATGCAGTAAGAAATGCTCTGAGCAGACATGTGGCAATGACTTAACCAAAGGCCAACAAATTCTCCCTGCAGGGCATGGCACTGCTAAGGTGGGAAAGGGAAGAACCGTGCCTGGGCAGCCTCCGTGTGGGGCTCTCCAGAGGCAGTGAGGGAGACCCGGGTCCACCTGCCGCTGCCCATGACGTCGCATGGGGGCTGCTCAGACCACTTGTCATGGTGTAAAAGGTGTCCAAAGCTGCAGTGCTGACCTCTGCTTTTGTTGTCGCATATTTCTGGGTGAACTGATGTACTGAATTTAATTTTTATTTGACGAGTACATAGACATGTGTGTGAGCGCAGTGTTCGGCCCCTAGTGACCATGGGCCATGCCGGGAGTTGGTGCATGTGCAGGACGCACCTCAATTCTTCTTTCATCCCTTCTCCTCCCTCTATCTTTGGGCAAACTAATTCCAGATCTTGGCACACCTTGAAAACACAACTTGCTTGGCAAATTCGACTTCTTCTGGCGTCACTGGAATCATTCGGCCAGTAAGTGTTAACCGCGCACAGCGAGGGTCTTCTGGATCAACAATATTTTTTCTGTAGGTGAAAAACATTTTTTATTCATTAAAACGATAATCAGCTTGAAATACGAAGGCGCTTATTAAAAATAAAAAAATGGTAGCCACGTTACTGATTATATCATTCAGGTTTTTATTACACTTTTTCATACTGGGGATTGAATCTGGGGTGTCACACTGAGCTGTACCCCTCAATTGGTTTTATTTTGAGATAGTCCAGCTATGTTGTTGAATTGTGCAAGCTGGGCTCCAACTTGCCATCCTCCTGTCTCAGCGTCCCAGAGTGCTGGGATTACAGGCATACACTACCCCACCTAGCTAATGTAATTATTTAAAATATTTTGAGGGATAGGGAGTTAGCTCAGCAGCTTTATAAGCACCTGCCTGGCAAGTGCAAAGTCTGGGGTTTGATCCCTGGTACAGAAAAAAAAAAGAAAGAAAGAAAAAACTTTAAAAAATACAGATAGTATGACGGGGTGTTTTCCTAAGTTGGATCTCACTGTGGCTGTTTGGTGACATCTGAAGTTGAGGGTGCACTGCCCTGGGAAATGAAGATCTGTTACTGAGAGAGGACCTGTCCTGGGGTAGAGCTCTTAGAAGGTGACTGGCTCGTGGGGCACTTACTCATCAGGGGATTCACCCATCGACGCATTCATGGCTCACGTGCTGTTCCGAGGCTGGGCCTGGGTGGAGGAGGCGGGCTGCTGCGGTGGCGATCTGGAAGGGCTTCTCTCCCTCCCAAGCTGTTCCCTTCTCTCTGCTTCCTGCAGCCTGCTTTCCTCCTTTACACCTTTCTACCATGAACTATCTGCTGTGGACCCTGCTGACCATAGACCAAATCTGTTAAACCATGAGTCAAATTATTTTATTTTTTATTTTTTTGTATTTAGGATAGAGTCTACAGGATGTACAGGGTCTCACTGCATAGATCGGACAGGTAGTGATCCTCCTGTTTACAGCCTCCCAAGAACTGGGATTAATTACAGGCATGCGCCACCATGCCCAGGAGCCCAGTCTCAATCGCAGTCCCTAGGGGTGGGGCCTGCCAGGGATTGAACTCCAGGCCCCTGCGTCTAAGCAGATGCTTTAATCTGCTGAGCTATTTGGCTTGTCCTCCATGATTCAAATTAAACCTCTCCTCCTTTAAATTGTGGGTGTCCTGCACCGCATCCTGCCATGTGAAGGCTGAGGGATGTGTTGGACTTGCAGCTTCTAGGGTTGTGAGAAAATGAGCCGCCACCTAATTGGTGGCACAGGAAAACCTGCAACAAAGACGGTGAGGACTGAATGACACTCCTGAAGCAAGGAGCATCAAAACCTTCCCCTCCATCTTGCTTGCCAAGTTTGCTACAGGAGTGCTTGCTAAGGTAGGAAAGGAATTAAATTGAGGTGACAGTGGGCAGTGCATTGTGTGGGCAGGCATTAATCTGTTACCTTTTTTTTGTACTGGGAATTGAACTTACAACCTCATTCTTGCCAGGTAGGCACTGTGCCTCTGAGCTATATCCCTGGCCCAATCTGCAACATATTGAAAGCATTTTTTCAGGCTTAAAATAGAGATTGGCTGTGTTTGAGGTAGGTCTTCTTACACAGAGTCCACAAGGTATAGAAAATGCATATTGCTGTAGAAATGTATATTTTCATAGTAAGAGCTGGACCCATTTCAAGCAGACTGTAGAAGGCCATGGACATGGCCACATCTAGCTATTTATTCATTTGTTTGGCTTCATAATTTGATTATGTCCTGGGAGAAAGATACAAGTCCTAACTTTTTCCATTTATGATTATGTTTAACTTACATTTTAAAGCATCTGGCTTGTTTGAGTTTCGCAGTATCCTTGGGATAGAACAATACTTCCAAGCTGGCCATACTGATGTGTCTTAGGGTCAACTCAGCAGCCCTGGGTTGTTCAAACCCTGCAAATTCCAAAGTCTCCAGGAAGACTGGTCCTTGACCAGCTTCTACAGGACAGCTTCTGTGTCCCTGAGATACCCTGCCCAGCAGGAGTGCTTCTGTATGCCTGAGGCCCTGAGCCACACTACGTCATCTGAGCTCTACAGGGCTGAAGACTGAATAGCTCAGATCCACTGTGCAGGGATGGTAGCGCCCACGTGGCTGAATGAAAGCAAGAACCTCGCACAGAGGCCCGGTTTGCTCCCTTGGCTGGCAACACCTGGCACACACTGCCCCGCATTTGTGCAGGGAGCGTGAAATGCGTCCTCGGGCAACTCCATGAGGAGCAGAGCCTGGGGACAGAGGCTGGCTTCTCTTCACATCGCCTCATACCCCCTGTGCCTTTGGGGATCTTGCTTTGTGTCCCTTCACTCTAATACACTGGGGACCTGTGAACCCAGGAGCTCTGCGGGTCCTCCTAGCAGATGCAGGGAGCCCACAGATGTGGCCAAGAAGACCTTGACAACTCTTCTTTGCACAGATGGGAGAAATCATAAAATTGCTTTCTTGAGGCATGAATCTCTCAACCTCATTCTTACCCACGGCACTGTATTACATTGCATTGCCTTGCATTACACTCTGGAGAAAGCTGCAGCTATCAATCAAAGCACATGTTTTTCTCGTACCTAAGGGCTTGCTTTAACCTACCTCGAAGTTTTTCTTTACTACACACGCTGTCGAGTTGCATCAAGATAGGGCCACAGTGGGCAGGCCTACGTATTCAGGTAAGCTGCTTCCTGTGGGAACACCGCGTTCCACCAGAAAGTGTTTTGATCTGTCATGTTTTTGACCCTCAGAATCGTAGTTGCTGAGTTGTGAATTTTTCTTGTTGGTTAAGATGAAAGAATGGAGCGAATGTGAGGACTCCAAGACGGCTTCCGTTGAAAAGGAAGAGACTCTTGGATGTGAAAGTAGGGGAGCTGCCCAGCTGGATACTGATGTGGCATTTCTCCCCCGCGGGTGTTGCTGGAGCATTTCAGAGAGGTTACAACCGGTATCACAAGTGCATCAACGTGAAGCAAGGGAGCATCGCGGGGCCGAACATGGGCTGGCAGCCTACGGGCTTTTCAGTGACTGCCTTTCTTACAAGGAACTCAAACATGAGCGGTGACACAAGCACCCCTGAGAAGGGGCCAGCGAGGAGGGCACGCTGCACTCCAGCCCGCGCCTGCCTCGTCCTGCGCCCGTCTGTGAACAGCTTAATCATGGCTCAATGTGTTCATAGCCTAAGTGACAATTAGTACACAATAAAAGGTGACCACTACAAAAAAGAAAGATGAAACAATGATGGGGTGTAGTCACAATAATGACTGTAATAAAGGAATCTACATTGTATTTTGTGAAAAAATCCTGAAATGTCTAGGAGAAAATAAGTAAGAAATGGTAAACAGGAATGTAATTTACATATTGGAAGTATTAGTTTGTGTCCATCCAGATCAGATTGTCATCAGTTTTGTTTACTACCTACTGAAGCTAATTTCTTTTTTTTTTTAAGCTAATTTCAAGAAAATTCTTTCTGCCACAAAAGCATTGGAATTCGCATTCCTAAGACATTAGAGAATGAAAAACACGTTACATTTGAGTAGACAACCATTTTGCTTCTCTGCTGGTGGATGTACAGAATAGAAAGGAGATTATAGAGTCAAACAGATAAACAGAGAAATTTCCATTTACACAGCAGGAAACCCAGCTAAGCCTGGAATCATTTTCTTCCATCTGCAGCAAGCAGGTAAATGGCCCCCGAAAGACAGCCACGTCTAATCTCTGGGACGAGTGAATGTTACCTTACGCAACAACAGGGAATTCTGGATGTTCCTCAGCTGACTTTGCGTAGGGAGGACAGCCTGGATTATCTGGCTGGCCTGGTGCAATCACAAGTTTCCTTAAATCACAAGCAGGGAGCTGGGGAGATAGCTCAGTGGCTTATGTGCCTGCCTGGCAAGCGCAAGGTCCTGAGTTCAATCATGGAAGAGGTGTGATGTATGGAACACCTGGATGGCCATTCCTGTCTGTGAATACCAAAGGGATCCTGAGCCACAGGAGCCACGCAGCCGGCAGGAGCTCAAAAACCCTCCAGGAAAGAGCGCATGTCAATCCATGCTTGGCTTCTGAACTCAAATCTGTAGCTTTATGAGTGTATGTGTGTGTGTGTGTGTGTGTGTGTGTGTTGTTTTAGTTTTGCATTCTTGGGGATGAAACTCACAGCCTCACACATACTAGGCAACCACTTTGTACTGGGTTTCTCCCTCAGCCCCTTTGTGCTGTCTGCAGCCACTCCGTGGTGACGGCTTGTTACAGCAGCAACAGGAAACTAATATTCCCTCTACGGAAGTCGAGCTGCAACCCAACCCTCTGTCGTACGTGTGCGCAGCCGCCCGGGGATCCTGGCAGCTGCTGCTCGTGCAATGGCTGGGAAGCAGTCTCAGATCTGAAACGTGCCCCCGCAAGGTCCCATGGGTTTGGCAGTTTCACTGGGTTGGAGGAGGCAGGTCAGTGAGCGTGTGACCTGAAAGGGTGTGTTTTTGTCCCTAGCTCTATAAGTCAGAGACTGAGCAGCTCAGATTAGCCATGCAGGTGCCAGAACACCCCCACGACTGAATTAAAATATAAACCCTGCACCCCAAGGTCCAGCCAGCTTCCTGAGTTGCCAGTACGGTACTTTGCACACACTGTCCTGCTCGTGTGCAGGGACAATGAAGTGTGTCCCTAGACAGCTCCATAGAGTCACAGCCCCGTCCACATCCACAGACTCGCTCTGCTGTTTCTCATTCTGGCTGCTGCGGCCTGGGCTGCTTTCCTGAGCCATGACCTTCTGTTGTGCTGTGTCTACCTCAGAGCTGGCCAACCACGGAACCCAGCAGCCAGATTGAATCCCTCCTCCTTGAAACTGCAAGTGTCCTGCATTTTGTCCCAGCCACCGCAAAGTAACTGATACAGAAACCTGGTCCTGGAGAAGAAGGGTCACTGCTGTGGCTAGGCTTGACCTTGGGATTCAGAGGCTCTTGGAACTGGTTTGGAGAACAATTTGGAAAGGTTTTGAGAAATGGGCAACTGAACACCCTGAA